GGGTCCAAGCCGACGCCCAGGCTGCTGGCATGTCTGGCTTTCAGAATCTGGGTCGTTGAAAGGCTTTTTACCTTTCCTTCTGGGCTGGAAAGTACTTGCCTTACCCAGGCCCCATCGCCCACACAGTGGTCTTCGTGGACCGCTCCTGCCGGTAGGGTGTGGTAGCATTGAGGAATTACAGCTCTTTGCTGCCTCCCTCCCCGTGGACCCCAGGCTTTCGCCCTCCCTAGAGCTCCTTAGGCCTGGGCTGCTCAGCGTCCTGTAGAGCCCTTTGCACCGGCAGAGTCTCCACTTAACATGGCCCTGGATGCTTCTGCCTTTGCATAAGGAGTGTGTGCTCTCAAAGCTTCGGTGCTGAAGGAGACATTGAAACTACAGCTTTTCTGAAAAGCAAGGCACCTGTGCGGTGGCCGATGGTGGCTGTGGGAGCCTCGCTCTGGACCCCGTGCCTGCCTTAGCCGCGTCGGTCTCCCTCATCCTGTTCCCGCTGGCCCCGACTCCACCCTAAGCGGATAAGGAAGCCTCCTGCCCACCCAGGGCCCTGATCTCCGCTTTGTAGGACTCCAGGGCCTGTGCTCAGCTGCTGCTGCTCTGCCCCTGGTGGGGCCCCCCGTGTCCCTGCGAGGAGGCAGCTGGCAGGCAGCCCCGTGGGCTGGGTTGGGTCCCACGAGTCTCAGTTCAGTGTCATTTCCGACGTTTCTTGACTTTCTCTTTCAGGCTGAGTCCCGTCAGCCACGGAAACACGATCGCACTCTTCTTTAGGTCACTGTTACCAAACTATACCGTGGAGGTAGGTGGAGCTCGTCCCAGCCCTGCCTCCCAGTGGGCTCGGGCGTATCCAGGCCAGTGCGAATGTCTGGAGCCCTCCTTGAACCAGGACTGTGCCAGCTGGCACAGGGAGCAGGGAAGGACCAAGGCTGCATTGTGCCAGCGGGGTGCCCATTCTGCCAGGGAAATTGGGACCTGCCCAGATGGTAGCACATGCAGGGCCCGTGAGTCAGCCCAGCTTGACCCCACTCTCTGGGCCTGGCTTGGCTAGACGCAATGTTTGGTTTTCAGAGCTTCCTCTCCTCACAGAGACCTGGGGAGGGTTCAGGGCCCGGTGCTAGGCTCCACAATGCCTTCCTGCTTGGGCCCTGGGCCCCTAGTCCCAGCACAGATATTCCCCTGTTCAGACATGTCCCATTGCTGCAGGGGGAGAGGCCCGAGGAAGGAGTGGCTGGGGGTCTGAACCGCAACCAGGGCCTGAACAGGCTGATGCTGGCTGTGCGCGACATGATGGCCAACTTCCACCTCAACGACCTAGAGGCACCGCACGAGGACGACGCGGACGGGGAGGGGGAGTGGGACTGAGCGTCCGCAGAGGTGCCTGAAAGCCGTAATGATGTTGCTGATTTCTGTGCTGGTCAGAATTGGTCAGTTCCCTGAAGTAGAGACGCCGACTGTATCGCTGACCTGGTCGCTGTTTCTCCTATAAACGTAAATGGGCGAGATGCCGACTGTATCGCTGACCTGGTTGCTGTTTCT